CCATGATACACAGAGGTTTTGTACAGTTGCCTACATGGCCACGGGTGTGGGGTTCTTTCCTGGAGAATGTGCAGCCTACCAGTGGCCGCACCAGTAAAGAGAAGCGAGTCTCCGTCCCGGGGGGCCATTAGCTGCTGACTACTCAGCTTCAGGTGGGCCTCATGGGTTCTGGATTTAGTATTTTTGATGCCAAAGAAAATAACATATTTAAATTTTTATTTCTTAGTGTTTTTGTTAGTATGTTGCATGTTTATTTACAAAACTATATTAATTGCAAATATGTATATTGTGCCGTCTCTCTGAACTCACTCACTCACCTTAATAACATCCTATAGGTCCTGTGCGATTTCCTCTGGACATGATCAGGCCGTGACTTACTTGAACTATTTCATAATTCCATTTTATCTCCTTTATTGTCTTACTAATGAAATAGTTATTCCATTATATTTTTAATTAGTTTTTTATTGATTGGGGTTTAGTTTTGAATGTGATCTCACCATGTAGCCCAGGCTATCCTAGAATTATCTATGTGACACAGCCTTCCCTTAGACTCACAGCAATTATCCTCCTCAGTCTTGTAATTGCTGAGATTACAATCATGAACCACTGTACCCAGCTTCGTTATTGCTTTATTCTAGAGTTTCCTTTAGGATACCAGTGTTTATCTCTGAGTGATACTGTATTACCTCACACAAATAGCATAAGAACCTTAAACAAGGCTGGAGAGATGGCTCAGACAGTAGGAACTCTTAATGTCCAAGTGTGAAGATCTGAGTTCAAATCCTCTGTCCTCAAGGAAGAAAGTTAGATGTGATGGTGCATGTGTAACCCCAGAGCTGGAGATGGGGAGACAAGGGATTTCTGATAGCCTAGTTCCAGGCTCAGTGAGAGACCCTATCACAAAGGAATAAGGCACAGTTATAGAATAGGACATTAAATGTTCCCCTTTAGTGAACACATGCATATTACATCCTCTCCCTCACCCCCAGAAAACCTTAAAGATTACTGTCTATATATCATTTCCCAACCTTTGCCTTATTGTCATCGTACATTTTGCATTTCCATAACCAATGAATTATTACTTTTGCTTTGAACAACAAAATTATCCTTTACCAACCATCAGTTGAAAGAGGGCTTTAATACTAATCATTTCTGGATATTTGTATTAAGAGTGCTTTGCATTATCTACTTTATCTTTTTTCTGAAAAGGGAAGTCTATCTTGAGTCTTTCCTGGTGAATGGTCCTCAGAGATAAACCTAGGAATAGCTGATATTTGAATGCACAAGAATATCAAAATGTTGCAGCAAACCCAAACAGCCAAACAGCCAAGTAGCAGTGAGTTATTTAATTTACAAAGCTAGATGGTCTCGCAATTGCATTAGAAGCCATATATTGTAATGTAATGATAAACTTTTCACTTCCTTCAGCCTTTATTACATCTTTTAATACTACAATTATACTACAACCCCCCATATACATCTTAGGTATCCAATATCAGCCATACCATACTGAACTTGTTGAGTCTTGTCTAGTCTTAGAAGCTAAGCAGGGTCAAGTCTGGTTGGTACTTGGATGGGAGACAGCCAATGGAAGCAAGTCTCATCTTGTCTGTTGGATCATAAGCTTCATGAAGATGGTACATGTACTTCACAGTTCCCTGGACTCCTTTCCCACTTCTAAACCCCGTTTACGGTCGATATTTAAGTTGGTAACTATGAATAGTTACAGTGGATGAAGTTATGGAACCCAGAGCTAACTTAACAGTTGTGCTACTTTCAAAGTTCTCACAGCCAGTCCTAAAGATCATTTTCATGAAGCAAAGGACTACACCTCTTTCTGGCTCCCAGAACCTGTGGATCAGGCTTCTTTATCAAGTTGATTTTCAGAGTCTGAGATGGGCAAGGAGCCCTGACCTACTCTTGGATCTGGAGTTCAAGAGTTGTCAGGTAAGCTTCTGACTTCCATCCTTCAAGCGGGGTCAGAAACCATCACAGCATTTTCTTTCCCTTAGTCCCTATGATAGGCACGGAGGCACCAAGAAAAGAAAGCATGTCTCTTGCCCTCTGGAAGCTGACTCTAAATCAGACATGCCCAAACAGTCAGGACATCTCGGCTTCCAGTAACCTATTTTTCTTCCTGTCTGAAGTGCCAGCCAACCCAGCATACTTCCTCATGGTGCAATAAGTACAGACTGTACTCAGCTCATTGCCCCGAACTCATCCGCTCTGCTTCGTCCCTCAGTTTCCTTAACTAGGTTTCCTAATCCACTTATAGGGTTAGAAGATGGAATGGCTACCAGATGTAGATCGAACGACAGGAAAAGAACGAAACCTGTTCCCTACAGTTTGGACTCAGGAGGAAGTCACTTGCTCCAATCTCATAGACACCACTCTGCTTCAGGATTTCTTCACTGCACACCGAACTATTGCAGGAACCCCAGCATCACCTGCAGCCTCTAGAATCTCACTGCAGCTTGTTCCCACCCTCTTAGAGCACCTGTCCGCCATGCATAGACCCCACAGTCCCCTGCTCTAAAGAGTATCAAGTCTTTCAAGGAGAAAGCCGTCCACTAACATCTACGACCATATATGATGAGTGGCACCAAAGTGATTCCTAGACCACATTTGAAGAAAGGGAATCACCAGGGCCAGGCGTGCTTTGTGGTGCGTGACTTTAATCCCAGCACTTGGGAGGCAGATCTCTGGCAAGGCTTACCTGGTCTACTTGGAGCGTTCTAGGCCAGCTAGTGCTACACAGTAATACCCTGTCTCAAGCAAAGGAGAAGAAGAGGAAGAAAAAAAGAGAGTATAGCATTTCTCAACATCTTACCTCTTAGATATTGCTATTCTTGAGCTGCTAGAGACGTTATGATTACACATGCTGAGACAACCTAAATACCCAACAATCAGGAGGCAACTGAAGCTCAGCCATAACTTTAACAATAAATAATTGTTTAACTGGGTATGGTTGCGCACACCCTCATATAATCCCAGCACCTGGATGCTTAGACAAGAGTGTAGTGAGTCATTCCTCACCTTCTGCCTTGCTTGACTTCCTTTCTCTCTCTCTCTCTCTCTCTCTCTCTCTCTCTCTCTCTCTCTCTCTCTTTGTTTTCCCACCTCTGATCTTCTGGGACTCTGCCATCCCTGCCTCTCATTTCACCCCTGTTGTGCTATGCATCTTTCTCATATGAGTTCAGGCCTTCAAATCTGGGTGGCAAGTGTTTTTACCCACTAAGCCATCTCCTCGGTAGTCACCCTTCTATTTATTTTTGGTTTTAGATCTGTGCCATATAACACAGATTGTCCTTGAACTAGAGATCCTCCTGCCTCAGAGTGCTGGGATTATAAGCAAGCATTCTCCACCAGATTTGGTGGGAATTTACTGTTGATTCAAGTTAAAACATGATTGAGGACTCGGAATAAATAGTGAGCTACAGAAGCCATATAAGAAAGAGCACATGCAGTATAACTCCATTTATATAAAATTCTAGCAAGCGCAACAAATCGACAGGAAAAAGACAAGACATTGCAGAGTGGGGCAGGAGATAAGGACTGTGAGAACACAGGGAACTTGGCAGGAATGACCATGTCCCTGTGTTGATTATGGTGATGGTTTCAAGAGTGTATACTTTTTATCTTGAAACTTAGCAAGCTGTACAATTGAAATATATGCAGCTTATGGTCAGTTATGACTCAACATGGCTATTCTTAAAACCAAGATTCAGGAGCCAGCTGACGGCAAAAGCGTCTTAAGGTCAAAGAGCAAGGCCGTGTGTAGCACCTGAGCCTTCCTCAGGCAACAGGGAAGCACTTCCTCTAGGCTGAGCCAGGCTGAGCAAGACTAAAACTACATTCACTTTCAGACTGAAATAGCTGCAGGCTATTTCTGGCCATTCAGGATCACTCCTTTCTATCCTGTTCATGGGAATTTACCAACAAAACCCAGCTTGACAGATGGAGGGTGGGGACCCTTGGGAAAATGAAACCCCATAACCCCCCTACAGAGCCAACCCCAGGAGCAAGTGTGAGTGGACCGGCTAGGATGGAGTCCCAAAGAGACTGGATTGGATGCCCTAAACCGAGAACTCTCGCTTTAAAACACTCTTGGGGATAAGTAGTTGCTAACTCATTGGGAAGTCCATGGATGACCTTCAGTGAGTCCTCGGCCCCCAAGTCAGGCGCACATTTTGCAAGTATGTGCTTTCACGTACATTTCTGTACAGAGAGTACATAGATTTTTATCAGACTCATAAGAATTTCATGATTATAAGAAGATGAAGAGTCCCGGGCCGGGACATGACTAAATCCATCTGTACTTTTTCTTTCCTTATAGACTTATGGGAACAAAACTAGGGTCTCACTCCTTCTTCCCGATGAGATTAGATTTAGGCGACACGTTCTGGAACATACAGCACCCCCCTCTTTTCTGGGAGCACAGTCTGCTCGCCTCTCCAACCATCCCAAGCTTTCTGCACACTTGAGAACTGGGAGTTATTTCCCAGCGTTCAGATGTGCAACCTGTCCCACACATTTCCTTCCACCCGCAACACAGTCCTTTGCCTGGTACCTTCCATCTAATTTACTTTGACCTGAAAATCGTTAGTTTTTTTTCTCGAGCCCCTCCTGGAACCCCACACGTCGGCGCGACACCCCATAGCTGCGCGTGTGGGCTGGCAGAGGCATTCTCACACATGTCTCCAAGTTCCAAGCTTTCGCCAAGCTTGTCAGACCTGCTCTGCTCCCTAAGTCTCCGAAACGTCAGTGGGGTCGCTCGACTCCCTTGCACAAGCGACCCGGCAGCCAGCCTGGAGCAAGGCAAGGGGCTCTCATCTTTTTTTGCGCTCTCCGCGGCTGCCTCCACGTGTCCTGAACCCCACAACCCCCACGCCCCTCCAGCTGGACTTGAGTCCTGTGAAGTCGTGACCCCCACGGGTCAAGTTCAGCCGGGTGTTCAGCTCCCCCCCTACTCCCCTGTTTGGACTCAAGACGCTCCCTACCCGGTGTCACCCGCAGCGGGAGCAGCAGCAGCAGCAGTAGCAGCAACACCTGGAGGGCGTGGACTCCACAGCCCGAGAGCTGCCGCGAAGCCATGGTTGATCGTCCCTCGCAGTGCCCCACCGGGACGCAAGGCTGGGGTCTCTGGGAGGTAGCGAGCTCAGCTCCGGGACCAGCCGGCAGCCAGGAGCATTCGCTTTCGCTTTTGCTTTAGCCCCCGGGGTTGCAAAGAGGTGCGAAGTGGTGACAGATCTGTGACTCAGCATCCCCACCCCTGCTTTGGAAGAAGCCCCAGCGGCCGGCAGTGACACCCCCTCCTCAGGGAGGCTGCTCCTGTCCCCCGAAGCGCGGGGCCCTCACCTGGACAAGCCGGCGAGCTCCCTTCTCGCTCCTTAATGTTCTCTTCACTGCACCGACAAACTCCTTCTCGTCTGCTCTGCAGCTTTTTGCGCACACCTAACTTCAGCCTTGTCCACTTGTCACTTGCCCTGGCTGCTGGCCCTCTGTTATTCGAATTGCAACTTTCAGAAGTCAATCTCCAGGTAGCCCTGAGATTGACTGTCCCCGCTCTGCGTCCCTGGGCGACTGCGGAGGTGTCGCCCCAGTGCGGCGGTTCTGAGCAGACGGTGAATTCTACACCCAGGTCACTTTCCTGGTGCCCTATGGCCCCAGGAAAGGAGCACAGTCCTGGCTACCTGCCTTGTGGCGCTGGCGGTGACTAACGCCTGCCCAGGCCCAGGACACGTTGCCTTATTCCGGCTGCACCATTCCAACTCAAGAATATGCCAAGTGTTTGAGCTGGGAGAAAAAGCGTAGAAGGAAAGGGAGGAGGAAAAGGGGTAGGAAAAGAGGAAGAAGGAGGAGGAGTAAAGGGGAAGGGAGACAAATAGGGAGGAGGAAGAAATGTGTAGAGAAGAAGGAAGAGGGAGGAGGAGGGGACAGGAAAAGGAGAAAAGAAGGCAAGTTAGTCATCTTTCTATTTCACATTTAATTTCTTTAGGCAATACACAATTTTTCAGAGACTAAGAAAACTTGTATGTGTATGTGCACACACACACACACACACACACACACACACACACACAAAACTTTCCTGGAATTTAAAGTCAAGCCCCATGCTGTGGAGGTTCGAACCTGGCCCTGGAAAAACATGTGGGAGAGCAGCTTAGTCAGAAATGCCCCTATCTAGATGTAGATGCGATGTTAGGGAGACAGACACACCCGAGTTTTAGTCTGCAGCTCCCTATGGGGAAAAAATGTAGTGATGTGTGATTGAAGTAACCCATCTTCTAGGCATAATAGGAAAAGGTGAACACTCTATACCTGCTCCCTCTTCCTTAAAAAGTTTTAAGGTTGGCACAGTAAATATGAAATATGTCCAATAAAAATTCAGAAAGAGGATAAAAAAACCACACCTTTCAATCTCTTATAACCAATGAAAGAACTGGAGAGTTGGCTCGGTGGTTAAGAGTATTAGAATCTTCCAGAGGACTTGAGTTCAGTTCCCGCACCCACACAGGACTTGTCAGTATCCGTAATTACAGTCTCGGGGCATCCAGCTCTCTCTCCTGGCCTCTCAGGCCTTGTATATACAAGGTGCACAGATGTACATATAGTCAAAACACTCATGCACATAAAATAAAAGGAAAAAAATTAAGTACAATGAATGCCGGCATTTGTGTGCTTCAAACTTACAAACACTTCTTTTATGATGGGCATTTTCAAATATCAAAAGCAAGAAGTAGCCAGGCATGGTGGTACTCACACCTGGAGTCCCAGCACATGAGAGGTGGAGGATCAGAAGCCAGCCTTACCGCACAGCAACTTCACTGCCACTTGGTCACATGAGCGTCTGTTAGTGATGTGGGGGCTGGGACAGGAACATAGCATCCTAGTGTCACCATCAGCAGCCTGATCAGTATCCTCAATCTTTTAGAACCAACCTGGGATCTTCAATGCAGAGAAGAGCACCGTGCCTGGGCAATATGGTGTAGAGTTCAAAGCTTCAAAAGAGGGTTCAAAGAAAGAGGTGCTCAGAAAGGTACATAGGTGTGGGGTTCTCTAACAGCGAGCTGCCTTTACAGTAGCCACACAGGGAATTTTGTTGGATGTTGAAGCTTTTTTCTTCAAAGAGAAGCGGAGGAACCTATTGAAAAGTCGAGGTTTAGATTATAGAAAGGCAGGACACTTTGGCTGCACAAAGTCAACAGTCTTCCCGAGATTCTGCCACCATGTCCAGGGGGAGGAACGAGACACACACACTCACGCTTTAAGCCAGGTTCACTGCTCTTTTAATATAAAATATCTAACATGAAAGGAATGATATTTCTATGTTGGCCACGTTTACAGAAAATATCAATTGTGTTGGAATTCTTGTTTCTTAGATGGTAAAAGCTGTAACCAGTGAGGAGCTCCTTCTCCTTCTTATGGGTCCCTAAATTTTCTTTTGTCTTTCTAGCCTGTCTCTCAAGCCTCTTTCTAAAAAAAAAATCCAAAAGCCAAAATCAAAACAAAAGGCAGAGGGTGTAGTTCAGTTGTTAGAGCGTTTGTCTAGCATGGATGGGTCCCTGCGTTTCTATCCTCCATTCTACATAAACCTGGCATGGTGGCACATGCTCACAATCTTAGCACTGGGGACAGGAGGTGGGAAAATCAGGAGTTCAAGGTAATCTTCAGCTTAAAAGAGACTTGGAGGCCAACCTGGGTTTTATGAGACAAAACTAAACAAGCAGAGTACCAGAATTAAACCCACCCACTCATCGCCCATACCAATGGTGGCCACAGGAAGTATACGATTTCTTTTTTTAAAAAATATTTATTCATTTATTATGAATACAATATCTGCCTACATGTGCGCCTGCAGGCCAGAGAGGGCACCAGATCCCATTACAGATGGTTGTGAGCCACCATATGGTTGCTGGGAATTGAACTCAGGACCTTTGGAAGAGCAGGCAATGCTCTTAACCGCTGAGCCATCTCTCCAGCCCCAACAATTTCTTTTCTTTAAAATTATTTATTATATATACAGTATCCTGTCGGCTTGTATACATGAAGTCCAGAAGAGGGCACCAGATCTCATTGTGGATGGTTATGTGCCACCATACAGTTGCTGGGAATTGAACTTAGGACTCCTAGAAGACAAGTCAGTGCTCTTAACCTCTGAGTCATCTCTCCAGGCCCAGAAGTCTATTTCATCCCAGCAGGAGCAACTCCTCCACTGGAGGCCAACCTGAATGTCATTTCATTCCTCCCTAAATATGTAAGCAAGTGTGTAGGGATGAAAAAGTAAAATAAAAAATTAACAATATTTCTTAGTAACAGCAAGTGCATTCAGGTTTTATTGAATAGATGAAAAAAATATAATCATTCCTGAGCTGAGTGTAGAGGTACGTGCCTGTAATTCCAGCACTTGGGGATAGGGGCAGGAGAATCCAGAGTTCACAGCCTCAGCTATGTAGTGAATTTGAGGCCAATGTGGGATACATGAGATCCTTTCATGCAAAAAGACATCTTTCTATAGTCTATGAAAGTCTATAGTCTACTGTTATTGTTTTCAGAATTTTGTGATACTTATGGAATATGAATTCAGGGGAGATGCAGAACACAGTGTAGAAATCAGGCAGAGTTATTATAGAATAGTATGAGTGACTCTCAAGGGTGAGAGTGGACAGATACCAAAGACACTTTTGGAGAAAGGCACTCTCACAGAGTGAGAGCAGACAATGGCCAAAGAGGCCACCAAAGAGGAAAAGACACAGGGTGAATGTGAGCAATGGTCAGAGACCACCGTGGTGACATGCAGCTTTAGACTACTTTCGTTGTCGGTATTTTCTGTTTTCTTTCTTTTTTTTTTTAAACACAATATTCTCTTTTTTTTTTTCGACTTATTTATTAATTATGTTTACAGGGTTCTTCCTGCATGTATGCCTTCGGGCCAGAAGAGGGCACCAGATCTCATTACTGATGGTTGTGAGCCACCATGTGGTTGCTGGGAATTGAACTCAGGACCTCTGAAAGAGCAGTCAGTGCTCTTAACCTCTGAGCCATCTCTCCAGCCCGTTTTCTTTATTGTTATTTTTTGTTGTTGTTTTTTGAGACAGGATTTCTCTGTGTAACAGCCCTGGTTGTCCTAGAATTTGCTTTGTAGACCAGGCTGGCCTCAAACTCACTGAAATCTGCCTGTCTCCCCCTTCCAAGTGCTGAGTTTAAAGGTGAGTACCACCACTGCCTGGCTTTTTATACTACGTCTTAAACTTCCTTAAGAGCCTGGAATGTTACTTCCCAGTTTTGCAAGCTGATGACTTCGAAAGGGAAGTGCCTCCCCAGTGACTAGAAGCCTGTTACTGTGACTTAAGTCCTGAGTATTGAGACAAATGCTTTTGTTTTTTATTTGTTTGTTTGTTTTTTGAGACAGGGTTTCTCTGTAGCTTTAGAGCCTGTCTTGGAACTAGCTCTTGTAGACCAGGCTGGTCTCGAACTCACAGAGATTCACCGGCTTCTGCCTCCTGAGTGCTGGGATTAAAGGAGTGCGCCACCACAGTCCAGCGACAAATGCTTTGTAAATTCCATGCTCTTGTATGTATATTGGGCTCTCAGGTTTGAAATATTTCATGGCTTAAAACAAGATAAATATATTGCCTCTGTTCTAGAGACTAAAAGTCCCAAATCAAGGTTTAGTAGGACTGAGTTATCATAGTTTAATTGCTCCTCTTCCGTCATTTCATCATTAAAAATAATACACTAGGACTAGGGAGACAGCTCACTGGGTGATGTGCTTGGTACACAAGCATGAGGACCAGTGTTCAGATCCCTAGAACCCAGGTAACAGCTAGGCATGGTGGAACATGCCTGTAAAGCGAGCACTGGGAAACAGAGAGAGAGATGGATCTCAGGGCAGGCTGACCAGCTTATCTAGCTGGAATGGTGAGCTCTAGGTCTGTGAGGGACCCTATCTCAAATAAATAAAATAGAGAAGAGATTGAGAGAGGATATCCCAGTGTCAACCTCTGACACGTGCACACAAGCAGGTGCAAGCACACACACACACACACACACACACACACACACACCCCTTAATAAGTATCTTTGTACAAACCACCATTATTGTTATTCTTTTGCTTTGGTTCCTTTAAGGGCAAGTCACGCCCACTCCCAGCCAATTCTGACCTCCTGGTTGCCATCTTAACTCTTCCTTTTTCTGTTC